AAATGTAATTATTTTTTTTGTAAATGTAAGTATTTTTTTGTTATATTTGTTTAATTTTATAGATTAAAATACTTTTTGATTGAAAAAATATTTAGGGACTTAATCGTTTAAAATATGAATGTTCATTAGGGTTTTTTTTTTTTACTATTTTACCACTTTAACTAGTTGTACAAGTCATAAGAATGTATCGAACAGGTTTTAGAAAAGTCCAAAGAGTTATTTAACATGTTTTGGATTGTCCAATGACTTATTTGTTCAAAAAATTATCCAGTGAGTTATTTAACATGTTTTAAATTGTCCAATGAGTTATTTAACATGTTTTAAATTATCCAATGAGTTATTTAACATATTTTAAATTGTCCAAGGACTTATTTGTTTCAAAAAATTGTTTAAGAAGTTATTTAACATGTTTTGGAATGTCCAATGACTTATTTGTTTCAAAAAATTGTTCAAGGAGTTATTTAACATGTTTTGGAATGTCCAAAGACTTATTTGTTCCAAAAAATTGTCCAAGTACTTAATCATTCCAAACACTAAAGTCCATCGGGTTTTTTTAGACTTTTCCCTATATTTTTTGGACAAACAAGATTCACCTCTTAAGAATTCAGAGGCTGCCTCTTAATGAAACTATTAAAAGGTAAACAAACAACATCTAAATACCAAAATATTTTTATAGGGGGTATATTTTTTGGGATCTTTAAAAAATAAAGGTAATGATTTTTAATTAACTTACTTAAAAAATAAATGGAATTGAATTATGCTTAAAGTTCCAATAAATTGAAAAATTAGATTAAAAAGGGGTTAAAAGTTGTTCAAATTATACTCAAATTCTTATGACTTTTAATTATTTTATTTAAAAAAACTAATAAACATAGTTTTTGTTAGGGGTATTAATTTTGTACCAGATAAAACCAACCAATATATGTGTCAGCGACACTAGTTAAATTGGTACCAATTTTAGTTGGTAATAATTAGGTCGGCAGTAGCATACCAAGTATGCAAATTTGGTTGACACACGTTATAAGGTTTTACAAATTGATTATAATTGGTTGGTACATGATATTGAAGAGAAAAACTTGGTACTGTTCCAAGTCAACCCCCAGTTTTTGTAATCATACTTATTTGTGCAAAAAATTGACTACCGGCAACCTCAAGCAACTCCACATGGAACCTGCCTTAAAGGACATCAATATGAGATGACACTTTTTGATTCACTCAGTGGCTGAGGCTAGCCCCAAGAAAGCAGGGAGGGGGATAATCAAACCTGAGACGTGTCTTGTATTTAGACAATGTCGTCACATCTCTTTACCAACTGAGCTACACGTCAGAGACTTTGTAATCATACTTATATGTTAGTTATTATAATTTTTTTTTATAAACTGACATAAAATAAATCAGTGAACGGCCAGTCTAATCTATATATCTTAACTTGTATTAATTTTAACCTATTATGCAACCCTTATGTGTTGGTTCAAGTAAGAAGATTAAATATGTTAAGAAGGTAAAAATGGAAGGTTAGGAGAAAGTGCATGTGTAAGTCATTGACAAAAATTTTAAAAATCCATTGCATATGTGAATAATGTTACAGATTATTTATATGAGTTCACGCACACATACACACACATATAGGGTTGGGTTTACGTGAGACTAGACTGTATTCGTGAGACACGTAAGAAAACATTTTTACACTTGAAACTTTACAGAAAAAAACATTGTGAAGGTAAAAAGAAGCCGAACCTTTACAGCAAAAATATTGTGAATGTTGCTTTCACAATGTTCTGCTGTGAAGTTTTAAATGTAAAAATGTTGTCTTATGTGTTTCACGAAAAATACTTTGTCTCACATGATCCCACGTCCACACACACACACACACACACACACATATATATATATATATATACATACATACATATGAATGTGTAAAAATGTTGTTTCACGAAAACAGTCTTGTCTCACATGATCTCAATATATATATATATATATATATATATTATAAAACATTTGACAAAAACTATTAAAAACCAATTTTTATACATGAAGTACTGTTTATTGATGCATATTATTTAAAATTTAAGATTATAAGTAAATTGAGCATAAATACAACTTACTAAAGCTTCATATTTGAATTCGTGTAACTAACTGCAGATAAACATAATCAAATACATGATAAACATATCATTTTAAATATAGAAAATCAAAATTATAATTAAGATAATTATTGAGTTTTAACAAAATACTTAACTATTATCTTTATAATTTTTTATATTACCAAACCAAAAATAGAAAAATGAATTAAAGAATTATACAAAAAAAGAAATTTTTTAAATAGTTAGTTTGTTACTAATATCAATATTATTTTTTTTCAAAATTTTATGGTATCTTCATATTTATATTTTATTCAAAAATAAACATTATCGCTTTCTCAAAACCACGACAAAAATAATAAGACGAAACATTAAAATCGAGATTTATGCTGCATTATACGAGTACCCTTCTAGTATATATATATATATATATATGTATTGAAATGGATTTTTTTTTCAATAATTCATATACAAAAGTTTGTTTAATCTCTTATTCTAGTAAATCCTTAAATATCAAATAATATAGCAAGGGTGGAGTAATTAAATTTCACATATATTTCTTGTTATAAGAAAATGACTAAAAAGTCCCTTATTTGGTACCAAGAATTGACACATCAAAGGTTATGCCCCATTTCAAATGATGTAACCATACATGTGGATTTTTGCTTGCAACACAACCCCTAACTTTAACATATTTAAAAGGGTAAAATAATTTAATTTGATCTGATTTTGATCGAAATTATAAATTAAGATGTTTTTTTGTCGGTTTTTTATTTTTTCGTTTGTAAGAGTTGTATATTTAAAACAACTTTTTTGTTCAATTCGATTTTGTTGAAATAACCTTTAATTGTTTAAGTAAATGTGGCAAAACGGATTAATGAACGGTTTGGTTTTTTAATTTTTTTAAATATTTAATATTTTTAAAACAATTATAGGATTAAAATAAAGATAAAATTGAATGAAAAAGTAATGTACTTTAACGTGATTTCTATTTTGAGTGATGTACTTTCAAAACTTTTATTTTAGTACTTAAAATGAAAAGTTTTAAACATTTAAGTACCTGGATAACAGGTTGAGACATTAACCGATTAACATACTGATGTGACGAGTGATGAAATGAAATTGGCTTGAATAACAAATAATACTGAGTTGAATACCACATCACTTGCAACATCAACATGGTAACCGATTACCCGAGTACTTAAATGTTTCAAACTTTACATCTTAGGTTCCAAAATGAAAGTTTTGAGAATACGTTATCCAAAATAGAAATCAAGTTAAAGTACGTTACTTTTTCATACAATTTGTCCTTGAAATAATAATCTAATTTTTTTAATTAAACAAAATGTAGAAGGTTGTAAATATTTTAATACATTTCGTGCGACTTTTCATTTAACACGTTTAATTATTTATGAGACCCGATTTAAATAAAAAAGGTTAAATATCATAAGAATATAATAACTAAATGTTCATATGTAAATCTATTTTAAGAAAAAAAAATATATTTGAAGATGCATATGTAAACCATCGTTACTATTTATTCATATGGGCTTACGTATGCATCTTCAGACAGATTTTTTTAAAGATTCACATATGAATATTCTCGTATTACATTTTCACGATATTTAATCTTTTTATTTAAACCTTCGTAAAAAACTTGAAAATATATAATTTCAAGTAATCATAATTTGGATAATTAGTACAAAAAAGATAACCCAATGGCATGATTGTCCAGAAAACATGCTCCATTGTCATGATATATTACTGAAACAACCATCTACGCTCATCATCCTTATTTTCCTTACTTGCAAATTACATTTAATTTACACCATAAGATTGATTACATATGGCTAATGCTACTTCTGGCTAGAGGTCAAGTTTTGATCCCGATTGGCCGTTATAAAACGGGCTTCCTCCGATTATCTACAGGCTGTTTGTCGGTTTCGCTTGCAGCCAAGATATCGTAAAAGGAAAGAAATCCCGGAGACAAAATTGTGGTGGTGCTCGGAAGTAATCATGATTGTTGGAGAATAACGTTTAGTTCTTGAGCACATCTTGCCGGCAAACCGCCCCGCCTATAAAACATAGATTAGGTAGAGTTTTAGATACTTTTTGTTTACGCCATTTGACACACTCTACTCTTTAGGGCAGAGTGGCGGATAATACGTACATAATACGTAACTAAAAATAGTGTTACGCAAACTAAAGAGTTAGATAATTGAACAAAGTACTATCTGAAAAATCAACTTCAAAATAAATTTCACCGTTATGTGTGACAAAAGACGAGAGAATAACTTAAATAAGAAATTTGTAACGTAAAACTTAAAAGGATAATTGAAAAATTAATAAATAGTCAATAATATAAGAACTATTTTCATTTGATAAAAGATTTATATATATATATATATATATATATATATATACGGTTTGAACCAGGGTTTGATGATTCAAACCACCAAACCGCACCACAAAGTGTGGTTTGATGAAGATGCAAACCGCAAACCATACCGAGAAAGTTTTAAACTGAAGATTGCGATATGGTGTGGACGGTTTAGATGAACATTCCTACTTATCAGGGACTCAGTTCTAGTTCACAAACGACGTTGGGTGGGATATAATAGGTAAGAACCAATTACAGAACAATTAAACACCAAATACGATTCTGTCATGGTGATTAAGGATCTCAACGACACATTTAATAACCGTATAAAAGTTGGGTACATAAGAAGTCACCTAGTAACTAATGATCTCAACCCACATTAAAAACCATTTGCTTTCCTCTTGTTTTTTCTAGGCAAGGGGTTTTTTTTGGGGGGGGGGGGGGAATAATTGTGCAAGTTTTTAGGAGTTTTAATTTGACATGGATAGTTTAGTTATTTATCAATCTTATCTCATCTCCTTGATTTTTGTTTCACCTATTTTGGTGCATCTTTGTCCCACTCATACCCTATCGTATCCCAATCTAACGTCCACCATATGTAGGACAGGTTTTTGTTTCGTCATGTCTCGTCCTTTGTATGAACGCACCCTAAACTACTTCAAACTCTATTTCAAGATTCACAAAAAGAGGGTATTGTCTAGTTTTATGCTTAGAGGAAGTGTACATATAACCAAACGATTCACCCAATACGAAATTCACACACACACGCATGCAGTTAATTTTGCGATCACATATACAGGAGTTGCTTACTGCTTAGCTTTAAGGGCCCGTTTGGTTTGAGGGATTTGTTGATTTGGAAGAAATCCCACGCTTGGTTTAAAGGAAAGTCCAAAATTGAAATCCTACTGGATTTCAATAAAATTCTACAAACATGAGATTTAGAAATCCCATGGGAATGGTTGGTATTTCACATGATTTATATGTAATAATCTTCTAAAATATGTTAAAAACACTTGTTTCGTAATAATCAATTAATAAAAAGGTATTTTAATTATTTTTATAGAGTAAATTAATCGTCACTGTAATTTCGGTTTTCGTCCCTATGGTTTGGAATTTGCAATATTTGTCCCTATGATTTGCAATTTTTTGCTATTTTCGTCCCTGGACTTTAAGTACAAAGACCAAAATAGTAAAGAATTGTAAACCATAGGGACAAAAAGAACAATAGATTATAAATCATAAAGACGAAAATAGCAATGAATTACAAACCATAGGGACGCAAACAACAATTTCTAAACCACAGAGACGAAAATTGAAATTATCAACAAACCATAGGAAGAAAAGTTGTCATTTACTGTTAATTATTTTTATAAATTATTTATAAACGACAGAATTCAATTCCATTCCAAATCCTAGAAACCAAAGATTCCAAATCCTTCCACGAAATCCAAATCCCTCAAAAACATTTCGCCAAACCAAACGGGCCCTGAGTATTTTCGTTTTAAGCTCTCTTTTAGGGTTTTGGGTTGGGGGAGGGGTAAGGGAACAAGAAGTTAATCAGTGAGATTTTAGACATCAGAAACATGATTACCTTATAATAGCCGGGAGACATTTGTTGATCTTCTGGAGCTGAATATGGCATTGATTGCAGCTTTCAAGCCTGTCATTAAGATTTCACAGATCATAAGTTGGGTGTATTGTGGAACTACAACTAAATTTCAGTGGGCAACTAGATTTACAAACTAAAATTTGTAAAAGAAGAAACAGTAAAACAAAGATTACACCAGCGGGTATCACCAAAACGGACCTTTTCTCTGCATGAAGATCAACGCCCACGGTTGGAGGTGCTGAAATTGTCGAACTTACTACAGGCCCAAAGACCGCCACAAGCTTCAATAACAATTCTAGTGATACACTTATATGCCTGCATATAATTGTAATTCCATGAAAATATTAGCCACAATTTCTTGCTAAAATGAAGAATCTCGGTATAAATGCTTTTCGTTCGATATAATCAATAGACCAAGAATTTTAATAGGTTGAATGATGGATTATATTCCATTGATGGTTTCAGTTTTAATTATGTTAGCAGGTGATTCCATCAACAAGCCATGTTTCACAAGTGAATTGACATAATTCGGTTTCAAGAGGTTCAAAGGTAACTCTAAAAAGCAACTCAAGGGTATCGACATATAGCCCAATAAATACATATGAATCATGGGAAAAGTTCAAAGAACCATAAATATTTTGAAAATCTGGGAGCTTAACTATTTCATTTATTATTCATGATGAATAACCCTAAACATTCATGAATATTATACAACATGCATTTTCATTATTTATGATATCATATTTTCATTATGAATGATTTTCATATGAATATCTGTCACGACATTCATCATGAATAATACATGAATAGATGGTTCCCAAGTTCTCAAAATATTCACGATTCTCATTAGAACCTATCCTTACCAATCACACTATATTTCTATAATCTACACATAGTATGATGGTTCGGCGTGAAAAGCCCGATTGGGTCCTCTTTCAACCCCAAAGTCTGGCCCTGAAAAGCCAGGCTTTTTTGGTTTAGTGAAGACGGGCTTGGAAGGCCCTGACCCAAGCCTGAAAAAGTCGGGCCTTCTACATCTCTAAATTGTCCCCAAACACAGGCAAAGATCATACCAAAATAGGTTTAGAATCCGAAACCACAAATTCAATCTTCAAAACCTATCTGTAAGGGGCCGTTTGGTTTGCAGAATTCGAAGAAATTTGATGGAACTTGAATGGCAAATTTCTTTGACCAAATTCCAATTCCTTTGTTTGGTTCACTTCATGAAATGGATGGGATCCTTTGAATTCCACAAATTAATTAATGCATCATTCCCTGGCATAAGTGAAGTAATTCAATGTCACCCACCACCAATACTACTACTGTCATCAACACAACTGTCACCCCCACCCACCTCCGACCACCAACATTACCATGCCAGTAATAGTTTTCCAATTCTTTTGAGATATTCCATCCCAATCCTACCAACCAAACGCGTAGTCAAATTCCATTCCAATTCCTTCAAAGTCAAATTCCTTTGATGGATTCCAATTCCACCAAAGTCCATTCTGCGAACCAAACGCCCGCTAATAGTCATAAACAGTTACCTCTCTGTGTTGCTATCCAGTAAATCCAAAAGCACGGGCAACAAGCTAGCAAAGAGATCTAAAGTGAAAAACTCCATTCTATCCGTCAGAACATTGACCACATCTGCGTGCACCTGGAACAAGACAAACACATTTTCAGATCATATAGAGTGAAGGGTAGTGGATTAGCTCCGCAGATCCTCAGATAGTTTGTTAACACACTAAAACTATGCAATGAATACCCACAGCATGATCTGGCAACTTCCGCAAGGCATTAATAGCACCCCTTGCATCATTACGCTCCCAAAAATGCCGTACCACCTGAAACGGCATGATAACTAACTTTTAAGCAACAAAAACCGTTAGAAATGGCTTCAGGCAAGGCAAAAGTTCCCTACCCACATGCAGACAATTTTACCAACAACGATAGACAAGAGCGTGAAGCATTAGAGCACCTCCAATGGATCTTTTCTAAGAGCTCTTTTCTAAAGCTTTTTGGTCAACTAGACATGTGAAAAATCCACTGACAAGAAAAACAGTCTTTTTGCTTGTGCAGTTACAAGCTTTGAATAAGCTATTTTTTTGCTTGTGGGTCCCACTTTTGGAAAAAGGCGTAGAAAAAGCTCTAACGAGGAAGTCCACCATTATGGATGCTCTTATATTTGTTCTAGATAAAGTTTATCATGCAATACATGTCAGCCTTAAAAAGTTTAACATTCATGGTTCACATTTAACCGAAACATTATATGGACTATTTCTGACAAAGTTAACAAAAAATTTCAAAAAAATCACTGTTTGCACGTAAGTAATATAAAAGAGCAATCATCATATTCATGGGCCAATCATAGCTACCTGAAGCTTTGTCAGCCGGGACCGGAGACTGCTTAAAAAGGCATCATGATTTAGCATCAACTCATCCGCGACATCATCTTCTTTCTTAGATGTCAGACCTCTCCCAGTAGTCTGTGGGCTATCGTCCTGCCAATTGCCAATATTAGAAACTAATTTTCTTATATTGTCACTAAACGTTCACATTGTAGTGAAAAACAATGCCATGCATCTAATTCAGACAGGAAATATATATATCTATATATATATATATATATATATATATTTATATTTATATATATTTCCTGTCTGAATTAGATGCATGGCATTGTTTTTCTATATATATATATATACACACACACATAGGGTCAGGTGCAGGGGAAAACCACAAACAAATGAAAAACTTAGGAACACCTATTAACCATTAATCTGCACGGTATGCACTTGTGCGTACAAGTAATTTGTAAGCCATTTGTCCGATATCCACGTATGCATAAAGACCAAAAAACAGCTTCAAGTACTTGTATGCACATGTGCATACCGTCCAGATGAACCGTTACCAGAGTGTTCCTCAGTTTTTCATTTTTTGGGGGGGGTTTCCCTGAACCTCCCTATATATGTATATATATTCACTTGCAGATCTGGGTGAGAAAAACGTAAGGTAGACATGAGCATCCTTGCTTCTAAAAAGGTATCTCTATGTGCTTTTTTAGCAAGCGCTTGGTCCATTTGATTATAACATAAGCATCTAGTAGCTACACCCTCTTGCATTTCCCCAGAGAGGGAACCAATCCTCTGGTGCTATAACAACTTGTTTGTGGAAGAGAGGACCATATAGAATTTTGCAAAAATAAACTTCCAATGTCAAGAACATGTTCATATGTACCATGCTTTGGCTCCTGGTATCTCTAAGCATATGTTGAAGAATACCTTTGGCGACTTGTCCATTAAATTCAAATTCACATGCCACAATTTGGCATCCCAACACATAGTAAACAAGATTGTTACAACCGAGGAAGAAAATTACCAGCAATGGAGATGATTTAGCTTTCTCAGGTATCATGCGATTGGGAGTATCATGCCTTTGAACTACCAACATGGGTGAGGTCTTGGTTCTTTCAGGTATTATGCGCGAGGAAGCTGTAGATCTCCGTGCTACCATCATTGGAGATGATCTAACTTTATCAGGAAATAGACGTCGAGTACTTGCAGATCTCTGCATGGGTGAGGCCTTACCTTTCTCAGGTAACATACTAGGGGCAGTCCTAGGTCTCTGTATAACCAATGCAGGGGATGAGTTAGCTTCCTCAGATTTTATGTTTGGGCCCGAATCAGGTTTTTGTACTGTTGAGGATGATTTAGCTTCAGTTGCTGCAATGGAGACCACATTAGGCCTTTTTTCAGGCACGGTGAATGTTTTAGCTTCAGGTACTGGACAAGGCACCACATCAGGTGCTTTTACGGGCATCTGGGATGTCACCACATCAGGTGCTTTTACGGGCATCTGGGATGTTTTAAGTTCAGGTTCTTCACGAGGATTTACGGGTATCTGAGATGTTTTAGGTTCAGGTTCTTCATGAGGCACTACATTAGGTGTTTTTACTGGCATCTGGGATGTTTTAGGTTCAGGTTCTTCACGAGGCACTACATCAGGTGCTTTTACGGGCATCTGGGATGTTTTAAGTTCAGGTTCTTCACGAGGTTTTACGGGCATCTGAGATGTTTTAGGTTCAGTTTCTTTACGAGGCACCACATCAGGTATCTTTACTTGCATCCGGGACGTTTTAGCTTTAGGTTCTTCAAAAGGCACCACGTCAGGTGTCTTTGCACACACCGGAGATGTTTTAGCTTCAGGTATTGCACAAGGGACAACATTAAGTGTCGGTTTTACCATTAGGGCAGGCTTATCTGTGTTACTTGAAATATGAGGAGCTAGATCAGGCGTTTGACATTCATCTGTATTTAGCTTTTCTCTCTTTTCGAATCTCTCAACCAAACTGCGAGTCCTTCCATGCACAACTGCGACTGCATAAAAGGAAAGAAATGGTGAACAATTAAAACCCGTAATTGTTTACTTGCAAAAGTGACAATAATATCGGATAGCTACCTCCATTAACATATTTAACAGATTTTGATTCCTCGTTTGAATCAACAGACCCATCACCTGAAATGATCAAATATTGCAAGTTAGCATCACATGTATCCATTACAAGAAAAGAAAAGAACATGAAGCAAAAAGGCTCCACATCAACAACATCTACAAGCTTATGAAATGTTTATACAACAGTTACTCAAAGTCCATGACATGCAAGATGTGAAGTCGAAGATCGAATTTCTTGAGACACATAACCCTTAAACTTCTTGTACTAATATTTTTCATAAATTAGATAGATAAGAGTTAACGGTTGGGTTCCAATGAGAATGACAGTAATGGTGAGAAGGGTAAGAAGGGATTCCACCCTTAGACCAATCCTAATTGAAGAGTTCCACTAGATCAACACTAATGAGAAGCACTGGATCAATTCCCTTCTAAATTGCAATTCATGGGTTGGTTTGAGATAAAAGTGATCAAGGACCCAAATCCCTTCTCAGTTTTTTTCATATCATTTCTCCATCAAGAGCTTAATAAAGAACAGCTAAGGGACATGCACAATTACGAATGATAGCTTGTAGCAAGGACTGCTGACCTATTATCAGTCTCTGACACCATCCTTCACCAAAATTGAACAATATCTTGGGGGACATGAGAAATTTCCTTTTAAGTTATTGGTGAAGAATTCTACTTAAGACAATTGAAATAAGCCTCTGGCTGTGTCCAAGTGGAGGTGAAACGCCCAGATGGTAATCAAGAGGTTCAATCCTTTGGCTTTAGCATCAGGGATTTGATTAACACCAAGAATAGTGCTAGAAGAAGCACACTCAAATATCTGAGTTGCTCAGGTAGGCAAAGGGCAAGGCTATTCGATTTAATTGTCTATCATAAGTGAAGATTTTCTGGAGCTGTCAATAATTGCATCAAAGATCTCGGGGATCTTATCAATTAAGGGTGGTATCCCTGATTTCCATCTTTCTGTTTTTAGAGATTTTCTCTATCCATTCTTTAGTCGAAAGGATTCTCCTTATCCTTTCTTTAGTTGAAAGGATTCTCCTTTTGTATAAATAGTCTTGCTTTGTGGTTTATAATCAATAGAAAATATATGAAAAGCCTTTTAGGCTCAACTCTGTTTGGTTTCTAAAGGACAAAAAACTTCTAATCATTAACAAAACAATAACTTCTTTCATGTGTAAGTCGGTATCATGGACTCTAGCACAGAAACAGCTTCTTCATCAAAAAGCGAAGTACAGAACTCAAAATTCTGTAGTGTTAAGGTGAGTGGAAAAGCTATGCAGTTCCCCTAAAGATGAGATATGAGAAATACCAGGAAATCAGGCATGGATTATTATCTAAGGGTAACAATTTATAACAAATAAGCAATGTAGTATATATGTGGTGACTGGTGACTGGTGACTGGTGACAAGTGAGAACTTAACGGTTTTCCTGTGGAAGTATACTTGGAGATGAAGCCTTTTGAAACTCTTTCACAACACCTGTAGAGGTTGGAGCTTTCTCCTTGAAAGAATCTTTAGCAGCAGCATCTGCTACAAGCCTTTTCTGAAAGTTTGTAGCTGCAGCAGTATCTGTTCCACTTTTCAATCCAGATTCTACAGCTACTGATAGCCCTTCTATATCTAATTTGGTAGTTGATGGCCTGCACCTATGAGGTGGCTTAAGTGCAGCAGCGGTATCCTGTTCATGGACAATTGATTCTGTCCTAGACTTGGCGGAGTCTTTTGCAGAATTGTCATGAGGCACAATAACAGGCATGAAGAAGGAATTACCATCGGCCTGCCCAATAATTTTGGATGCAGGAACTTGTTTACGGGTACTCAAATCATCGATCTCTTTGGGGTCTGGTAAGTTCACAACCGTTGGTAAAGACCCAGTTTTTCTTGAAGCCACAGGAGTCACGCCTGCAGCTTGACATGAAACAGCAAATTATAGTAACAGAAAGTAAATCATAAACACAGAAGCCAAAGTGAAACATGTTACTAAACCAAATGTTAAGTAATTGCTGTATGTCCAGTATTTTTAATGAACATAATTCTCCTTTCACTCTGAATAAGCATCTCACTTTAAGTTTCTGATTGGGTAACCGTTCATCCAATCCATACTTGATATGAATTTATTTTATGCTTTTATCAGAGCCATAAATTTTTGTTATTGGTGCAGCTTTTATACACTATTTCCTATGCAGAGTACATCACTCTCACTTCAGTTTTTTGGTCAAATTCACAATGTTATAAATCAAAATTTGATTTTGTGAGTTATTCAAGTAGAACTGCATAGTTGGTATGCTAATATGCCCTATTACCCTTCAAGATTTTTTCAAGATAATATACCCCTCCCCCATCTCCCAAAGACCAACAATACATCTACCATGTTATATACATGAATTAGGTAAGATCATACAGTTCACAGCCACTGTAAGTGAAATATTAATAACTACACAAAATGACACTTACTGTCCACGTATATATTCTTTATATCCTTTGGATCATCATCTGGAGACATGGTATTGGTGGGCCTTCTGGGATTCCCAACTCTCTCTGTTAAACCTTCCCGGAGATTAATTTTTGGCTGCACATGGGCGTCCTCAGCTAAGATGTTATGTCCATGCTGTTCAATATGCTTCACAAACCAAAGCACATGCAAATCAGCATTTATCAGGTTTTCATTTTGCCATACACTTTAAGATGGAAACCACCAAGCTTAACTTGTAATATATAATGCTTGGTTATGAAAAAGAAAGATTAGAAGCAGCATGAAGTTTAGATCACATAAGGACAAAGATTGCTACCGAAGTATCCGCCACCCAAACTGCAACAGAGTTCTGATAATATGAGCATCCCAAAAGCTTTCCATCGTCGATGCAGAGGTCACCCAATGTTGACCATCCCATATCAACAGCATCATGACAAACGACAGGCTCCCATGAATAGACCTAAATTCAATGGAGGACATATAGGTGAACAAAATATTTGTAGAAAGCAAAAACCTAGTTTAATGGGAAAAACAAAAACCTTTAAACTGCTGTCCAACCCACAAAACAGAGTTCTCCCATCTGGGTGAAAGGTAATTGATCGTACACCTGTTGCCTGAAGTAAAATAGAGCTGTTCATTCAATAACACAAATATCTAGAATACTAAAAAAAATGGAAATTTGTCTAGCGAATTGATACAAATTGCACTAAAATAAAAGCAGCAGTTCTATGAAAGCAGCAAAATCTGCCAAACGTATGTGAATCCTTCAATATGGTTACGTGATATATTGAGAAAGTGAATGACTGATCTTGCAGTCAAGGATGCAGAGTAGTCAAAGACCTTCCAGCCTAGTGGTAAAGGCTTGGGCATGGCATAGTCATGAACCCGAGTTCGAGCCCTGGGAGGGGAGTTGTTGGCGACATTTAAGTGAGGCCATGTTTAGCCTCCAAATTTGCCGGGGATTAGTCGGGCTTTGGCCCGAGCACCCTTACAAAAAAAAAAAAAAGGATGCAGAGTAGATGGTGCTCCAGATTACCAAGTGCGTTTCAGACAATTCAAGATAGAAAATACTAGAACATTGATATGCAGATCTAGTAAAGCACAGTATATGAAAGACAGTGTAGCTTTCAAATAATCAGTTTTAGCATTACTCCATTGTTGCTTCATGCAATGATGCTTGAAATTGATTCTTGGAAGTATTCCAGTATATTAATTGGTAAGTTAGCAACAGCTACAAAGCCTCAATTTAGAGGAGAATTCATGTCCAGGCACACAGAAAGTAGCAGGTTACTTGGTGCCACTCTTACAGCTAATGCACAACAAAGCCCACAAGTGCAGGACCTATGGACTCTGTCCCAAAGGTTGGCACAAATTAACTATTTTATGAATTTATATAGAGGGGAGCATGGAACAACTGGTACCTCTGGTCGAGTTGATCCAATCAATTCAAAGGTCTCTAAGTCCCAAAATTTTACAGTTCTGTCTGATGAACCTGGAACAAGTATTTGTGTTAGCATAATTTGCCAACAAAGAAGGAAAACCAATGCTAAGTTATGATCGATAAAGCTAGTAATGGTTAGTGCTGAACATAAGCACATTAACATGCTAAAAATACTTTAAACCGTGTGATTTTTCTTGGCTCTTTGTTAACAGGAGTCACATTTAAAGAATGTCAGCAACTAGATGAATGCTGACGAAACTAAAAAAGAAACAGCAAAATTTTCCAACTTTTATTCGAGGATGAAACTTAATGTTTTGCCAAAAGAAATTTGAATTAAGCACCAAGTTCTATAGCGGCAAAGAATTATCTAACGAGGGTTGTAAAATAAAGATGGTGATTTCCCAAGTCCCCTAGCCAAAAATATGACAGACAGTTCCACCAAAGCAACAATATAGTCCTCAGAAAATTTGAAGCACCATATGATGACATTTTGCTATGTACATAACACACCCTCCCCCTTGTTAGCTAAAAGAACAGTGGTGTCCAATGCAGGTTGCCTAGTGAGTTAAAATGGGGCAAGGGAGGGTGGGGCATCTTTTTGAGTAGCCAGAATGGATAGTGGGCCAAACTGCCAAACCCTACTGTTAATATACTATTATTTCGTTTTTTGCCGAATGCTTCAGTTCTCATTTCACTGTTTTCATATGATGGACACAAAAATTCAAGAATATTTGTTGTAGATCTGTATACAGTAGTAAGCTATACATAAAAAGAGAAATATAGATCTTATTTAAAAAATTTAAGAGTAGAAAAATAAGATATATCATATAAACATGGATGAGAAGAGTTGAGACATAAAGGAGACAGGGTTGTGCCAAAAATTGTATGAGATACAAAATGGAAGCATATGCATAATACATACATGTGTAGACAGAGGGAGAGAGAGAGAGAGTTTGCTTGTTGAAGAACAGAACAGGGAATTAAACTGTGAAGAAAGAGAAAATTCAGATGTAGCTAACTGAAATGCATTAAATAAGAGCTATTTTGGGATATATGAACGTGTATAATATATGTAGAGAGAACTCTGATTGAAAAGGAGATAGAGAAGGGAAGAGGTGATTAAGAAAAGGAGATGTTAGAGAGATACAGCGTTGCAAAGATAGGAGGAAAAAATGTGTAATTAAGTTAGACGATGATTGGACACCACTATGTAACCCTGCAATCTGTAGTGTTCAACAAGTTTACTAATTAGTGACAGATCATAATGAAAACAAACCAACCCAGTTGGTCAGATTTAGTACTGAATTGGACAATTTCATAATGCAGCTTTATATTGCCACCTCCATTATGGAAAGAAATGATAAGAGAGAGAATCATTTTTTGCATAGATCTTATGTTTAGTTTTTCCTTATACAACAGTAAATACTAGATACAGCTATAACTAGAAAGATTTTCTGAAGTGGTCTGCCAAAACAAATATAGCAAGATTAAACAGCCTACTATAGTTCTTCATACATCCTCGGATGACTTCCTGTGATACAAAGCATAGATGGTTACTTTTGTGTTTGATGTATATGAGATGTAAGATTTAGATTATCCAGCTATTCTTAGCGATGTATTCAGTAAATATTAGGATCCGTGTCTTACTTTTATTTGACTTTTTTTGTAGATTATATGCTCACCAATCAAACAAAAAGCGTAAAAATACTCTGACAATCAAATTCGGTTTTGGCATCTCTTATAAAAATATGATTCATAGTGGTCAATGCAACGGAATAGGCCATACCATATGCATGTAAGGTTGTCTCGACTAAAGGACATTTATAACTATGATAGCTTCTAAGCTGTAAAGCATATAAAGACCACACCAAAAAATAGGATTTTCATTAGAAATGTAATGTGATCCAATTTCTCTATTGCAATTTCAGTCCCCTTCACACTCTGGAAGATGACTCTTTTGTTTTGAAAAAATGCTATATAGACAAGGTGGTCGGGAAGTTTCATGGATTTTTAGTTGGATATGTCAACAAGATTTACCAATCACCTACTTCTACTCTCACAATCATATAGGATTATTTACAACTAGTTTTGGTCAAAATAATTAATATAAATGGTCAACTTGGTACAGAAGAACGAGAAGAAGATACTAATCATCCCTCGTTATTCATGATTTATGCTAAGTAATTTGATTAAAAGTGGACGGAAATCATGCAATTGACATGATGATAGTGCAAATATGTGACTGATAACTCTCTGTCGAGGTATGCAACCAAAAAGACCATGAACATTCAGTTATCACTTTATGTATTTTTCCTTTTCAAGAAGCAAAAGAGGTATTTGCTGGTTAAAAGTACAAACTTGGTTTCTACCAATTTGCTTCAAACTACATCTACTAGTTTCCTCATTGAAACTATATATACAAAACCAAAAAAACTTGTTGGTTTCTTCACTACCCAAAACCATCATATAGGGTAATTCATTTGTTGATTAAATATGTAAGAATCCAGTTGCAAAAATACTGGTGCAGTTCTAGTGGTTGATTGTGTAAGTCGCATGATTCAAGAATTATACACGATAACACTAATGTGTGTGAATCATTGAGTCACAGCCCTTTTAACACTTAACAGCAGATGCACATACATAGGCAAAAACAAAACATGGAAATTAAAAGGTAAGCATGGACTGCAAGCTAGATAGACATACCTGTCGCTAGAAGAAACTCAAGAGGATGAAACTCCATTGATCTAATGTGCCCTTCATGAAACTTGAACTCATGTAAAAGCTTTCCAGCTGTTAAGTCCCATATCTGTCCGAAAAGCAACAGTTAACTTAACTGCAATAATGATTCTCCATGTGCTGACATGACTGAGAATCTGTACCTTTACAACATTATCAAGTCCTCCTGATACCACCCAACGACCATCAGGACTAAATCTGATGGTACTAACTGCTCGCCTATGTCCTTTATATGTATGAATGCACCCTTTCTTTCGGATATCCCATATCTTTAAATTAGTGTCCATGGAACCCGATGCAAAAAACTCACCAAAGGGATGGAATTCAACAGCAGTGCAATAGGATCGGTGTCCATTAAGTGTACGAACCACTGCATTTCTAGAAACAGTTAGGAGTAGAAGAAAACACTTTGGGTTCTATGTATTACTCAAAAAGCATCGAACATGGAATTTCAAAAACAAACTTAACAATTTGAGCTTGAAATTCAACTACCATCCATAACCTTGGTACCACCAGATGAAGTGTTTCAATCAGTGAAATCCAATGACAACATTCTGTTTCAACATGCATGTATCTGTTTTTACATGCTAATAATTACATAAACGATTGCAATTAATGACATCAGCTTTCATGTAAGCAATAAACAATTAATCAACTTACCCTTTATCTCTTCCAGATCCCAAAGTTTTATCACGCCAGAAGAAGCTCCAGCAGCCACGAAAACTTCTGTCGAGTCAAAAGCAACAGATTCAATAGGGCTTGTGTGACCGCTTAGGCTCTGCATCAAACCACAAAGGAAATTACCCTCCATAGTTAGGCACAAGATATGGTATAAAAAATTATATTACCTCCTTCCCATAAAACATGTAACGTTTTCCATTTTGGGTTGTTCCAGAAACTGAGAAACATGCAACATTTCCTTTTTGGTCAAGTTTTTTAATTTACTTTACTTTTTTGCCTCTTAGTAACTTCGATTGTGGTCTACAAATTTTCTTTATTTTTTCCTTATTAAGGGGCAGTTTAGACATTAGATCCATAGTCAAAACATATTTCTTAAACTACATGCCAAGTCATACATTGAGTTTTCTTTTTGTATGGAGGGAGTAGTGGTTTCCTCATGATAGAAACATATATATTTTCTGGTTGAACTATATCAGAAAACATCATTCCTAGTTATATATTCAATCAATAAGTGATGGATCTTTCCCATTACTCATAATACAACTAAAGGTAACTCACGGTGTTTCAAAGTCTAACATGATTCTCTTTACTACTTCAACAATGCACCTCTGCTTTGTTAGTGTGGCAACGTCCCTGTTGCCACTGTTAATGACTAGAACAAAAATTGAAAACCTACATGTTATGAAATTGTTAGAAGGCTCACAAGTTCATCCTATACTTATGAATTTTAAGTGAAAGAAATCTCCTAGTTCAGTCATATTGTATCCTATAGGAATTAAGTGAAATCTAAGGATGTAAAGGACAATGCCATGTTTTTTATTTCTTCAATAACACGTATCTCTAAGCACAAAAGGTCTTCAATACTTGTCCTCTGAATCCCCCAATAAATTCATTTCATCAAAGGCCAAATAGCAAGTTTCCATATTAACCTTGGGCCAACCTGAATTCACTGCAAATGCTTACAAGCCACTGGATTCGCAAAGTCCCGCCCCAGATCATAATACCTTAGTACCTTAAGGCATGCATAAGATTGATCTAGTAAAATTGTAGTTCATATGGCAGATTCTTATACAAAGGTACCACGGCCTTGAGTGGCATTGTTTCAAGAAAACCATATGCCAGATTCACAAAGTAAGCCATGAAATCGAACTAGCAAGATTGTACCATACAGTCAAACGAAACTGCTAAATTTCAAAGTAAATTTACTGACCGTTATAGCCGATGGCTTCCCAATTGACCAAAGATTTACTTTTTCATCATCACCACCTGTAATGAAGTTTCGATGTGTCTTCTTCCCAATTTTTATACAGTTCACATTTGCAGAATGGGCCACAAATTCCTCTACATTGAGTTTAGTCAAGAAATAACAAGCACCAAAATGTAGTCAACAAACTTTCAACCATCCTTGAACATATCAGGGAAAAATAGCTCATTTTTTAATATTTAAGCATGCATTTCCACCAAAAATGCTAGGTATATTTTCTTTGCATCTGGACATAACTCTGGGTAAAAAAAAAGTGGTTCTTTTTTGGTAAAACAGATATCCGGAGTCCATCTTTTATTACACTGGAACAAACCGTACACAAGAAGAAATCCAAATACTGTTGCAATCAATCTTGAACTTGTATATAGCCCCAATCTTCTAAAAAATTACTGATAGACGATTAATCAACACAAAAGGTAGAAAATTTTAAGCTTGTTCTACCTTTGGTATGATATGAAAAATTACTAAAATCCAAAAAAAAATGTAGGAAAAGAAGATAGCCATGAAACAACCAAAATTGAGCTACTATACTTCTGTTCAGCTGGAGATTTATTTCTTAAGCAAAAAGGCAGCAACAAAAGATAGAGATGCCACTGCTACTTCTCTAGACAGATTGAACCATGTAACAATCAAGCAAAAGGAAATTCAACCAAGAAATCTCAAATTCGCAACAAAAAGCAAAAAAGGATACGTAATTTATATCCTCGTTTCGCCATCTGAAGTTATAACCGATCCAAAATTAGCTTTTCCGGTGTCGGTGCGGTTCTGATGCTGCTCAAGTTTCAAGCAATCAGTACAACAAACGCGATTGAAGATGAAGGTATATACATACACTAAATGTATCTATACGCATACAAATCCACAAAATTCTTCGTCCACACTTGAATCAAACACCATAAAATCATGAATCAGAGAATTTGTGCACAAAATTCACCGGAGAAAGATTGGAGGTGATGCTTTTTGGAGAGCAGGGCCGCGTTTTTGTCTGTTAGATGACGTGCTCACTGTGTGTAGTGTGTGAAAGAGAAAGTTCGTGGAGAGAGAGAGGGGGGGGGTCTTCACACTATAATTGTTGATTGAGGGCAATTTAGTTGTAATTGGACGAAATTACCCTTGGGTTTGTTACATGTTGTTTGAATTCTTGAGGCTGAAATTACAAAAAAGGACAGGGAAACATGTGGTCTGGTCTTGCAGGGACGTTTCCTTGGCCATAGAGAATCTTTGTTAAGGATAATTATTTTTTTAATTTATTTTATTTTCTGAAATTAAATTTATTTGAATAAATTTTATTTTAAACCAAAAGATATTGTATAAAATACATATATTTTAGCTCATTTTTATTATGTAGATTATATCTTACGTTCTAGTTTAGAGCTTTTTGTTTACCTCTTAATAGTTTCATTAAAAGACAACATTTTAATTGTTAAGAGTTGAATCTTGTTTGGTAAAAAAAAATTGTCTTTTAATGATTTTAAAATTTTCTGAATGATTTTGTATCTTAGATCTTCCTTAACCATTCAGTGTCTTAATTTCATTATAAATAATTACCAAATAATTATATTTTAGTTCGCACTATATTATAAGAGACTTTTAATCATTTTAATCACTTAATTATTTTAAATCAAACAATTCAATAACTGTCAGACAACTCTTTAACATATTTATATCTATGTAGGGTTTATTGATTTTATTTTATTTTCATTTAATTTAATAAATTATCATGCTAACAATTAAAATATATTTAATGTTTAAATAATTGTTTTAAATATGAATCATGAGATGGAAGTCACCTCAAAGTATTTATTATTTATGAGAAATTTGTTATTCAAGAAATACAATATTTTTATAATAAGATTGCAACTCAAATTTATTTACTTGGTTATTTTACTATAAGATATTTTTAGGGGTGGACTAAATGCACCCCTATGCATTGCTTAATGCACCCTTACCATGAATTTCTTCCTCACACACATCAACATCAATGTATGCTTTTTACATTCCCAATACTTGAAATGACCTTATTTTGACATAAAAGGGGGTGCCATTAGCACTCCCCTATTTTTAATATTGTCTGCTAATTTACTCATTTTAAATATCTAATTATTAATTAAAAAAAGGCATCATTAAGTTGTGTACCAATTCAAGATTTGCATATTTTTTTTATTGTTTTATAAAAATGAAATATTTTTTATCTTATTTATTATTAACTATTATAAAATATTTGCGTCATTTAATTTTGATTTGCATGTTTTTTTTATTAACATGTATATTTAATTCGTTATCTGAGCCGACTAATCTCAAGATGACCACCTGTTTTGCGACCGAGCCTCTCTCCGAGCAAGCACCAGTTTAACTTGGGGGGCGGTGATAACGTGGGTCTCCAAAACCCAATGTTGTAGGTTCAAATCCTACAGAACGTGATTCGGATCTTCTTAGCTCGTAGTCATCGTATTTGAACATCCGTGGCCATAAGGAGATTTTTATTCTTCATTGGATTTTGAACTTGGACCTCCAAACACTTTTGCCATTTGGAGTCCAAGATTAAACTAATCAAACGCCACCAGTGTATTTATTTTCAAACAAAAACAGTGTTTAGTATTGGATCTTAAATTAATAATGGTTATTATTTCAAAAAAAAATGAAATTGAGTTTGGTAATAGAAAAAATTAAGGAAAAAAAAAATTAAAAAAGGGTTTTTTTTTTTTTTTTGAGGAATTTAGTTACTACACAGTTTTTTTTAAACAAATAAATTCCTAAACATTTAAAACCGAGTATGTAGGTTTTTTTAATCTGTAAAATTTATATGTATCTGATTATATGGGTAGATATATTTTTAATGTAAGGAAAAAGTCTAAAAAACCTCCAATGCATAAGTAACTTTAGTTAACATATATCTCTCAAACCAAATAGTCTTTGGCCTAGTGGTATGTAAGTCTTTGGCCTCCTATGAGATCAGGAGTTCAAACCTCACCCAATGTGCAAAGGGTGTGTGAATTTATTTATTCTATTTGCGGTATATAAATATTACATACTTTAAAAAATGAAAATTCAGTCTTTATAGTTTCCCTACTGCCAAGAAAAAGACAGTAACAATCTAACTCCTTCTACTACTTATGTTCGTGAATATCATTCTCTTAGTTAGGTGGTAAGTAGATAGATAGATTTGTGCTTTTAATTGCCTTCCGATTTTGAACGATCGAGTACTTGCTTAATTATTTTGAACAAATAAATCATGGATCTTCTAAAATCGATTAAAAAGATATTTTTACCATAAAACTGATCATGCAACCAATTATTTGGGTAAATGGTTGTTTGGCAGTTGCTTAATAGTTTGGTGCAGAATGATTAAGTGGTCAGAATAATTAAGAGACTCTTATGATATAATGCGAAATGAAATATAATTGTTCTGTAATTGTTTACAACAGAATTAGGGTGCTGAATGGTTAAGGGAGGTTCATGATACAAAATCATTAAAAGGGTTTTAGATACATTAAAAGGTATACTTTTTTTGTCAAACAAGATTCAACTCTTAGCGATTCAGATGTTGTCTCGTAGTGGAACTATTAAGAGGTAAACAAACAGCCCCTAAATATGTATTTAAAGTAGAAAAAGGGTGCATCAAAACATGACCTAAATTTGAAGCTGAACAACCATTTATGCATTGGACACAACTTTCATATATTGTTAATAGCTAACAGAAACAGTATATTCTTTTTATTTTATTATTTATTATTAATGTTTTATTTAATCGATTTTAGAAGATACAGAGATTTATTCGTTCAATATCCAACGAATTAATTGCTCAAAATATGAATGTCTGTTGAATTTTTTGGAATTTACCCATGATTTTACTACATTAACCAGTTTTATAGATCAAAATAATTTATTTAGTTGGTTTTAAATGTACAAATAATTAAAAAGTTCAAAAAAATTATCCAGTTACTCAAAATCATAAAATATGTTGGGTTTTTCCCGACTTTTCAGTTTAGTAGAAAATTACTTCTAATCCTTAATTATGCACGTATTTAGGGGGTGTTTGGGATTGCTTATAAAAACAACTTATTGACTTATTCCAATGTGGCACCGGTAATAAGCACTTTTGAGTGTTTGGATAAATAACTTATACCGGTGCCAAACCGGTAATAAAGAGTTTTTGGAGAGGTTAAACCATTCTAACTTATAATTAGTTGATAAACACTTTTGTAGAAAAACATAAGTTATTTCAAATAAACAATCCTAAACACCCCCTTAAACTATAAATTCATGATAATTTATTAATTTTTTACTTTCATACTGTAATTTTGAAGAAGAAAATGGTACTAATGTAATATAAGTGGCGTTTAGATGTGTGTTTTAACAGTAATAATAGTCAGTATTTAGCATTTCTGTAACACGTTTTTATTTATGATTGTATGGTTATTTATGGTTCAAATAACTAGTTTTGAATAATCATTCTGATACTAGCTACAGTAAAGCAGTTTCTCAACTGACAGAGTAAAATTATCAATATACCATTAATTTGATCTGTTATATACTTGTTTAATTAATCAGAAACGTATACAAAAATTATTTCATATATAAAACTTTATTATAATTGATTTTATTTATTTCATATCACATAATATTTTTAAAATAAACATCCAAATACGTCTAAGTATTAATTATTGCATGGATCCTTTTTACCATAAACTAGTTGTGTACCCGCGCAATGCGGCGGGAGCCATGAATTTTAACGATTTTGAAGTTTTACTGGTTTTATAAGACAAGATTTAACGATGATATAAGTTACATTTGATCTTTACATATTAATACAATTTGAATAAATAAGAGTTATGGTTCTAATTACAGACTATCGATGAAAAAAATTGTATGACAGTTTAAAGTCCAATATATTTAAAATTCAACATATTTAAACGACTCCACAAATGTGTTCGATTTACACCAAGAGCAAAGAACCAAAAAACTTGAGTTTTAAGATAAATACTCAAACCAATAAAGAAAAATACAAATTTGACAGATCATAAGCTATGAAAAGACCAAAAAAGATAGGTTTTAAAATGAAATTTCAACTGCTTACCTTTTTTCTTGTCCATAAGCTCAGATTAAGATTGAATTAATACATGTATATATATATTTCAAAAAAACCCAAGAACATATTATACAGTGCAATTTGGACAGCCTAATCCCAAAATGTATAGCATATATATAAATAAATAACTATAAAAGTATAAATCGTAAACATTAAAAATATTTTTTCACAGTATATATAATATATAATAATATAATTAAGTAAAAAACTATTCAATATTGGACTCATTTCGAAGGTGTAACTTGTTAAAATAAAAATGTATTTTTTAAACATGTTTTATTTGATATATGATTATGTATGTTAATTTGATAAAGGTTTAAAATGAAACATTTAAAAGTAAAAGTCATAAAGTAATTAATTAACTAATTATAAGGATATAAAATGTAATTTTAAAATTATAATTTTAAAAAAAATCCCTTGAGTGTGAGAGGTAAATGTATGTGGGGGGTGAGTGTATGTGATGAGAGGAAGGGATGAAAAAGTGAAAAAGTGAAAATGATATCTTGGTCATTTAGAATTTTAAGACTTTTGATGAATTTGCTTAATAAAATAGTATAGATATACAAGAATCTTATAAATTACTATTTTCATTAGAATATCCCTAACGGAATTTTCAAAATAGAGAATTAAGATTTTAAATATTTAAAAATAATTATATTTAATATAGCAGATTTTTAATTTTAAAGATTACAAAATTAATTATATTATTAAAATATTTTATATATATAATAAAATATTATTTTTTAATAAATATTTAATTTCAAAGTTTTTTATTGATAGAAATAGAAAAAGATATATTTCTCTCTCATGGTGATTATTTCGGGTGGGTTTCAAATTTGAAAATTTCCACACTTTCTTCATTTTGAAAAGTTTAATAGAACAAAAAGATCACTAAAATATGTATTTTCTCTGTTTTAAAGAATTCGTTAAAGATGTTAGCTATGTTTAAGGATGA